TTGAGGTACGCAACGTCAGACGGTGTTACTATTTGCGTCTCCGTTAAGAAGAATAGGTGCGGCTTCTCAGTCTCTAGGTGGTAGTGGACCGGATCAAGGTTAGAGTGCAGGCCTCGGATGTTAGTGAGGTGCACCTTCATTGGGAGGAAGTGCAGCAACATGTCAAGGACCATTAGCATAAGAACACCTGCTATATAACCATGTAACTTGCAAATAAAGAATATGAATCAGTGGCGAGGCGTCCATATAAGTCGATTCCCATCGGCTTGCCTAAAATTTCCCGCGTACCTATTACCAGTTGCACCGCGCATACCCCACCACTTAAAAAACATTAATTCAAAATATTCACTATTAAACGTGTATAACTTGTCCCGATGCATCTCAACCAATCAACGCGAGGTAAGCCGGCGGATCGGCGAGTTCTATTTCATTCATGAAATGTACGCGCTCCCATTAAAATGTATGCACACGTTCCCAAAAATTCGCTTTAAAACATATACAGAAACGGCGGCTTAAAAGCAGCAATGGTTCGAGTTATTGTCGAATAGCGTACACTTAAATTTATACCTTATTACCAACACGTTATAGTTTAATTTGTTTTAATGTCAGAATCTTTGCCAGATATAAAACTCTTTCAAAATAATGTAACAAAATTATTATAATAGCAAAAATTAATTCAACATAAGGTTAATTTATACTTTGTAAATCTTAACAATAAATAGTATTACGTGTGTATCTATATTTAACTGGGTGTTTCTTTCTAATAGGACTACGTAACGAATGTATGTAGAAGGTTAAGGTAATTTGTAGGTAATTAAAACAGCAATACTTAGCATTCATGTGTTTGTTTACACGCTTTCGTGTCGCGACGGGCAGCTTAAAATATAAAATTACTTTAAAAGCTATGGTTACTTTATGTGTAGAATAAGTTACCCTGTAAAATGAAGTGAACTAGTATCTTGGGTCCTAATAAGTTTGTAAGAGGGCTTCTGGTGCTGGTGGCGTTACGTCCTGTTGGATGGAATGTAGTAGTAGCCTCCGCAGCCTCCATACATGTTGTTTAGTACGTTAAAATTTGAGGATACAAAAGGGTAAAAAACTAGTGGTAATAAATCCAGTTATATAAGTATTTATTGCGGTTTTAACAAGTCTTATGATATCGAGTTCTTAGGTTTTCGCGATTGTTACACATAGGAAATGAAACTATTTTTCCGGATTTAAATCGCGTGTATTTGTTTTTTCAACAAACCGACGTTTCGGGCCCTTTACAGGTCCCATGGTCACGGCTGATTGAGGTGGTACAGTCATCAGGTTTGTTTAAGAAAACAAATATACGCGTTTTAAATCCGGAAAAATAGTTTCATTTCCTATAATACTTATGAATCATAAGTTATGATCTTAAAAATGTATATTGTACAAGAGATTTTTAATAAAATGGTAAACTGTTAAAAAAAAAATAACAAGAAGATGTGTTCTCTGCCGCGATCGGGCAGAGAATGACGATGGAACGAATCAAAATCAGAATGCGAGGCAAAAGAATGGAACAATTCAAAATTTGAATTTAAATACGAGTGTGGGAATAATATCAGAAATTTTAATATAAAGGTGGGATGACGATGCAAGGAGGTCACACCGTCACAAGTGTCGTGTTCAAACGTCGCCTATTTAACGGGAAAAGAAATTTTAGTTAAAGTGTTTTTTGTTTTTTTTTCAAATAGTTAATCTTCGACTTTACCAACGAAATTATAAATATCACTTACATTTTCCTCATGAGCACACTGAGCAACTGGCTCTCGTCGCTCAGGCCGAGCACTTCCGACAACCGCCTATACACCTTCCCGTTCTTCTGCACTTGCTCGCCCACATAGATCTTGCGGAACTGTTCGAAGAATGACATCATCGCCAGTTCCAGCTTTTCACAGCCACCCTGTAATAAGCATGTCGGAGACAGGTGTCACTTCAAACGTGATGAAGAGTTCGGTTCGTTGTTTACGTGATAAATCTTAGAGCTATTACACACGGCGGCTTTTAGCTATACAAAAGCGCGTTTGAAATGACACAATATTACAAAATTGAAGACGTGTTAGATAAACATGTGTGGAAAGACGACAAAAAAAGACGGGTTTAGATTCCACAAAAATATGGCCTCAAAAAGTGTATTCCATAGCGTGTAAGTTTGTGACGGTGTGACCTCCTTGCATCGTCATCCCACATATTTTATCACCTTTCTTCGGTTCCTGGCCACTCGTATTTAAATTTTAATTTTGGATTGTTCCACTCCATCGTCATGTACCTATGAATACGTATCTGTAATTCACTATATCTCAGCCCTTTTAGGGGTAAGTTTCTAATTAATATCGTTTTCATCATAGGAAGTGTTTTATATTAATGTATCAGTTTTTCTATATATACCTTTTTATTGTTATATCCTTACTCCTTACTTCTTTGTTACCATTTCTTCTTAACCCGACTTTTAATATATTTGTGGACCGGAAGTTTTCTGTTTTACTGCCGTGAACCTGGTCACGGCTTGTTAGGGTTCTATAATCTAGAGGCACTAGAAAGGTGTTTTCGCTGTTGTGAAATCATTTCATCTCGTTTTTTTGTAGTGGCTTTTGGATATACAAGTTTATTTTTACAAACATATTTTATAATTCACGACAAATAAAACTCCAAAAGATATTTCTACATGTAGAACATGCTATGAGCCTTCGAAATGGGAGTAATTTTTATTTTGATAATATACAGGTAACGTAAAAAAGACAGTAAGCGTAGGATTTTTCTCTCTCTTCCCCGCGGCAAGGTGCCCAAGACGCTGGCAGCGTTCCCCCTTTGTATTTTTATGCTAATGCATCGGGCAAGGTAGCTTGGGTTTCCCAAAAAATCTATTAATTTTTTTGGATAAGATTTTATACAGATGAAGAGCACTGGGACCCCACGGGCCAAGGGTTTCGACTCCAAAGGCTCCAAATAGGTAGTCGGAGCGAGATCCTGGTACTTATTACTTTTTATTCTTTCTTTGGAGCCAGCCCTTCAGCCTTCGAAATTATATTTTTCCAATATTTGAAACCTTTCAAAGTTTTCGTTTTCATGTTTTATGGAAAAGTTTCCATTATTTAAAAACTTTCGGAAAATTACCCAATAATACTTGGATGCTGATAAGCAATAAAGTGTCAATCACCATGATCATAGTTTTGCCGAAAACGGCACTTAAAGATTATTTTCATAGTTTTTGATAGTTCATTCTAAAATTTACCTAAGAAATGAAAACTTTTGCTGATGTGCTTGTCGTTGTTGGGAAATTATAGTAATAAATCACAACAATTCATAATTCCTAAGGTGACAACAGCAAAAGTTTTCATTTTACAAGTTTTTAGGACAAACTATCAAAAACAACGAAATAACCTTTAGGTGCCGTTTTCGCAAAGCTATGATTATGTTGGTTAAAACATTATTGCTTATCAGCATCCAGTTACGATTTATACCGTTTCCTTAAAGGAAACCCGTGAACAACAGTAGGACTTATTGGTAGATGATTACTCTTAGAAAAATAAAAGTTTGCAATATCTGAAATGGACTCGCTAGGCTCCTTTGCTCGTAACACTTACCTGAGCCAGTCGAGAATCAGTGAGATCCATAAGCTGCAGCACGCGGCACACGAGCTCACCGTCCATGGCATCGTTCTCGTCACACGTGTTTACGCTTGCGCGACCGCCGATCGCCGCACCGATTATATACACTAGCCAGGTTAATTGCCCTGTAAGGAGATGTTACTTCGCTCAAATTGCTCATTATAAGCATTTCGCTTATGTTTTTTTTTTATAATATCAAGTGACGGGACGAACAAGTCATGCGCCTGATGGTAAACTACACGCCTGTCCATAACAGTTGCAGTATCACTCAGAGCTTTAAATTGCAAAGATCTGAGGGCACTACCACTGCGCCCGTCACCCTGAGACTAAGTTGACAAATTCCATGTGCCTGTAATTTCACCAACACCCTTACCCTTCAAAATCGGAACACAGTAATGCTGACATTACTGCTTGGCGGCAGAAATAGGTAAGGTGGCAGTACTACGCTGGACAACTCTTTAACAAAGGACTCTACAGCTACTGATAAAATTAAAGATTTTTTTATTGCATAAGATGTGTTCAATAATAACAACGCACACACACACTCATAGCCCCGCACTAGAGAAACCCTGTACCGCTGGTGCCATGGACACACACATAGACAGCCAGAAATTACACCCAAAGTCACGAGAGAAATAAATTAGGACATACATATATTTCTCCCGACCTAGGAAGCGAACCTGGGACCTCTTTGTGGCATGTTAACCGTTCGGTCACGGAGGCAGTTAATTTGTAATTGTAAAAAAGAAACTATAAGAAAAATTTCAGCACATCTCAGACTTCCGATCCAAACTTGGAACCCATACGTCGTAGAAGGGACTTTCGCCTTTTATCACTTCTGTACTCTGTTTTCTTTAATACCACTTCTCCTCCCTAAACTCTGTTCCAATTCATTTTGGACAAAGAGTAAACATACCTGTTTGGTTAAAATTCTAAAGCAATCACTCAATAAATCGAATAAGTAACACTTTCGATACGATTTCGACTTGATATATCATCACTTTTTCCAACAATATTCATTTGAATAGCATCGTAAAATCGTATTTGAAAAATGGTAGTCCAAAAGTGAGGTTATTATTCATCTATACTTCTATGACTTGCCTATGGTTGCATAGTGCTGTTCGAAAAAAACATTCGGTTCAATAAATTAAAGTTTAGTAATCGATTATTAAATCGAACATTTCAATCGCAATCGAACTAGTATCTAAGTGTAAGGATTTGAAGGATTTAAACTGAAAATTCAAATATGCTTGTATAGGTTATGTAAGGAAAACCGCTAGTATGACTCAATTGAACAAATCGATTCATCAATTAATTAATCGATTTGTAGTTGGCGTTACAATTGGCCACCACTAAACCGTCTATGGTCGGGTCAGTGACTTAGTTGTTTACTTTTTGTTCAAAATGGATTGAAACGAAGTATACCTCAAAAAGTGTTTCGTGTTTCAGAGCACTACTCTCAGTCGCACCTTACAGTCTTCTGTTACTCTTTCTTTAAACTATTCTATCCATTCTTCTAACTTCTATTCCAGCTCTGTCAAAGTTAAAAGCATCCAGCTGTGGAATTTTCGGCCTGACTCCAGTCGTTCAAAACTTTACTGAAAGCTCATTATACATAGAAAGCATTATCGCGCCTTGTGCGTCCAGTATAGTAGTAGCTTCGGGAATGTTTACCGAGCCGCGAGTGGACGGCTTTAGCGCCATTTTGAGGAAGCGGGTAGCGTCCCTAATATGCAGAATACAGTGGCCGATAGGAACGATGGGCCCATATTATATTTATATCAATGGGTACGGGTACGCGTTAATGTTTAGAGGATTTATATTAACATACTTTGTAAGAAATTTTGTTACTAACACTATATGGACATTTTGTCCGAAATAAAGATATGAATTGAGTTCTTAGGTTTTCGCGATTGTTACACATAGGAAATGAAACTATTTTTCCGGATTTAAATCGCGTATGTATGTTTTTTCAAACAAATCGACGTTTCGGGCCCTTAACAGGTCCCATGGTCACGGTTGACTCGAGGTGGTACAGTCTTACACATAACTAGTTGAAGACTGTACCACCTCAGTACGCGATTAAAATCCGGAAAAATAGTTTCATTTCCTAAAGATATGAATTTGAATTATCCTGTAATATACATAATTATTCTTTTCTCCTATTCTTACCTGTTTTAGATTTATGTTTTAAATTACGTGTTGTTATTATTATGTTTTATTTATTACTATTATTTATGGATATCTGTTTTAGACTATTTTTATTATTCTTCTTCTTTTTTCATTTGTGTACGTGCAATACGTGTTTCAAATACGTATTCTTTTGCGCCCTCAATTAATTACTATCTTACAGTTATTCCTTGCAACCCTAAGGTTGCGCGGAAGAGATTGCTATATAGCAATAAGGCCGCCTGTTGTACCTGTCTTTTATTTTTTTTTTGTATTTGTCCCAGTGTGCAATAAAGAATATTTTAATTGCATTGTAAAATAAAAACTAAAAAACTCACCTTGCAGTACAAGGATTTGCTGCGGCTGCGTCTCGACGCTGTACGCGGCCGCGGCCCGGTCGAAATGTGCCACTAACAGTTGACAAGTCTTGCCGTACTCGCATCGACCGATAACCGACAATTGTTCTAATTGTTGTTGGACTGTACCCACGTCGTCGAGAGGGTCTTCCAGGCCGTCTCTGAAAAGCAAATTAACCACTTAAGTTAATTCATAATTGAGACTATCAGCATGAAAGTGGTATAACTATTTTATTTTATTTACTTAATCATTTATTGTAACGAAAAAACAAAAACACATTTAGTAACGAAAACACAAACCATCGAGTATATAACCAGAAATAGAAACGAAATAAGGGCCATCCATCCGTGACAACTCATCAGATCAATGGGTCTTATATTAGTTTTAAATGTCAACGTATATCACTTTTAAATGTCAACTATACCTTGCGCTGAAATCACAAATTAGAAAGCTGAAATAGTACAGCGCCAGCAACTGACCCGTGTATACGTCTCCGTACATTCCAAAAATATTCTGTATTTATTGTAATAAAGGTAATATATCTAACTATTGGGGACTGTTCCATTCGGTGGTCTGGAATTGAAAGATGGAAAAGATAACTGAGACCTAAAGAGAGAGCGACAGGGTTTGTCCTGGGACCTGACAAAGCTGAATCGCTTTTTCAGATACCCGGGACACAGGGTTGTGCAGAATATTGTAAACAAGGGTACGTACTGTCTGTACGCAAATTCCTGAGGATACCAATGGGAAGCTGTGACATTTGGTGATATTTACGAAGTCCAAAAATGAACCTTATGCACAGATTTTGCAACCGTTCAAGCTTATGTAGCAGCTCTTCAGTAGCATCCAAATAGCAGGAATCAGCACAGTGTAAGAAACGAAATTCGCGAAATAAAGACAACTTATTTACAAATCGCGATCAACACTTACTACACGTATGCCTATGCGTGGCTCAACTACGGTGTAATGCTGTGGGGAAACAGCACTGAATCTCCTTCAATTTTGACCATACAGAAAAAATTAATAAGAATTCTAGCTAACATTGGTATAACCGAAAGTTGCAAACCCTACTTCCAAAAATACAATATTTTAACATTACCATGCATTTACATTTTTGAATCTTGTAAGTTTGTCAGAAAGTATCCAAATCTCTATGAAAAACGACAAGACATACCTACAAACCATTGTTTTCGACACCAAAACAGATTTATGTTAACAAATTCAACTCTGTCTCTCCATTCATCAAGTCCGTTTGAAATGTCTATAAAAATTTATAAAAAGTTACGAAACGCCATAAAAAAAATACCCAGCGACAACAGTTTTACATCACATTTGAAAAAAAATTTAGTATATAAAAGTTACTATAATGTAAGCGAATATTTAAACGATAAACAAATATGTTCCTATTAAAATAATTAATGTAGACAGTGTATTTAGTTGACATACAAGCATAAATACCAGGCATAGATGTTACCGAAATATTTTGTTATTATTATTAATTTTATTTTCTTTGTTAATAGCATATATAGATGAATCTTTCAAAATAATAATATAGTATTACAATAGTTTTAATTTGAGATTTAAGAATTGTCTTTTTGTATAAATTGTATTTTGTTTCTTGTAAAGGTCTTTGAAGATTTTATTTGTTAAATGTTGCCCTCTCTGTGTGTTTTTGCTGGCCCCAAAGCTCTAATTTAAGCGTGTCCACCTGCTACGTTGTAAATTTTTGGGAATGCAAAAAAGTATTAAGTATTGAGGGTAAAACAAGAGATCGGGTTAAACAGATTTTGGATTTCAAAAAAAGTATAGTATATCTAGATATTTTTCCTTTCATTCCACATTTGACGTTGACACCTGTCAAAAGTTGAAGTGACTGAACGAAAACGAATTAAAAGCCAGAGCCATTAAAAAAGCTGTTGTCAAATCATTTTAAATCTCGTTTTTCTGTACGTGGCTTTTAGCTATACTAGTTTATTTCGGAATTCATGTTAAATAAAACTTCAAAAGATATTTCTAAGCGTAGAACATAATATGAGCCTTCGAAATTATATACTTCCATAGGAAATGAAACTATTTTTCCGGATTTAAATCGCGTATATTTGTTTTTTCAAACAAATGAACGTTTCGGGCCCTTTTGGTCACGGTTGACCATGGGGCCTGTAAACGCGATTCAAATAGTTTCATTTCCTATGTGAACAATTGCGAAAATCTCAAATTTTTCCAAATTTATCAGGATTCATTCCGGAAAAACTTCCACTATTTGAAATTTGCCTGAAAATTACCAAAAAAATAGGTATAACCCACATTTAATTTTTTTTCTACAAATAAATGATACTAAGGTACACAATTATTACATATTTCGATGCTATTCTCATATATAACATCATCTAATAAACGAAATTCCTGAAGAATGTGTGTGTACATGGCATCCGCGACACAGGGTTTCCCTAGTGCGGGGCTATAAAAAAAACTCAAGTGTCAAGCTTCATTAGCATCATGCGTCTTATAAACTGGTCGAATATTACTTATTTGACAGCAATCGCTTCGAACGGATGTTGGACGGAGAACGAGTGTACAGGGTCTGGATTCGAACCCATGGCCTTTGTTTGAGAGACGAGGTAGGTTTAACGCTTTAGGCCATCACAGCGTCTTCTAAATTCTGAAATAAATGGTAATTATTCATTTCACTAACAATCTCACCTTACGACAACTGATACGGAGTCCAATCTTGAACCAATATAAGCAGCAGTGACGCCTGGAGCGTATGTTTCTAACAAGTGAGGTTCAGAAGCCTTCACGTAGGGTACTGAGGCCACCATACGCTGCCAGAGTGACAGGAGGTAGTGAACAGAGTTGGGGGCAAATTGCCACATCTGAAACGATCAAATAAACCATCAAACAAATTTGACAAACTTACGTGTAATTCACACTCGGTTATCTCTTTCTACAGTCGAAAGGACCGTACTTTTATAACCGCTAATATAATGAGAGCTTTGTAGTTTGTGCAATGAGCATCGAGTACGTAACCAGAAATAACCAGAAATAGAGACGAAATGTCATTTAATTTGTTTGAAAGTATTCTGCCATCTCATTACGGTGACAACTGCACTCCGATTGGCTAGCCCGAATACGAAACAATTGACGAGTGTCGTCAATTGTCGCGCTTTAAATCGACCAGTTTAACTTGAGTTTTGCTATAATGGACGAAAATTGAAAAATTACATATTTAATATTTAATTACCAATGAAGTGTGATTCCGTTTGTTTTGTAATTAAATGTTTTGCTGTTTTTCCCACACCACCGAATGGAATAGCCCCCATTGTTAGAGACATTATCTTTGTTACAATAAATACAGAATATTTTTGTATATACGGAGACGTTCACACAGGACAGTTGTTGGCGCTGTACCATTTCAGCTTTCTAATTAGTGATTTGAGCGCAAACGATAGTTGATATTATATAAGGCCCATTTGCCTGATAAGTTGCGACGGATGGATGGCCCTTATTTGGTCTCTATTTCTGGTTATATACTCGATAGCAATGAGTAAGACTAGATGAAGCGTTTCTGGCATTAATTATTTCTTTTAATAGTGAAGTAATTTCAGTGTTATTGTTAAGAAAATCACCGTAATTAACATTTTTTTAGGTGACAATAAAACTTGACGTGCCAAAATCTTGAAAATTACCAATATGCAAATATGTTAATTATGACTAGCAGAGCAGTCTAGGTATCTATCTATCTGTACCTGTAGGCTCTGCACAGTGAATTTTGCAACCAGCTCAATCAGTCGTGGGTAATTATCAACCATCACCAATTCGCCGAGTTGATAGTTGGACTTGAGTCGGGCCACGAGGCGGCAGAACTCATGGTAGTTCGTTGGGTCCTGGAGGCCCTGTTGGCAAATAGATGATTTTTAAGAATGATTATATGTATAATTATTATACATAGCAATCATGACTTATAAGCAGGGAAGAAAAAACAATAAACCTTGATTACTATCAAAACCGCTGTAGCCAAAACACACTATCATAATGTTAAACACTATGAAATCTTGATAATTTTTGGTCGTAGTTAGTCATTGAAAAGATGTACCAAAATCTGGATTGTTAATATAATTTAAACTTTACCCTGTCGGCACATCGTTGAAAGTTCAAAGCCTACTATTGTAAGTTACGTTTTGATTTTATATTGAAATTTCATTCAAAGTGCTGCCATCTAGCGGCAATAGCTGAAAGGCTATGACGAGACGACGAACGATTAACGTCTATTAACGTTCTCCAAAAATATCAACCATAATGCAGCGGTATAAGGTTCACTTTCGTTTCTTATAAAGAAAAATCTATTATGATAAATAGAAAATTGATAAAAATTAAATAAGACTTAACGATAGTATCAAACACCACCATGGATACATGAGACTATCATTTTGCGCTCCAAAGAAGCGAAATAAGGTTTTTTTCGAGGTATGCGAGATAATGATACGACCATAACATACAAAGCGAAAATGGCGGACTGTGCTCAATTATGCGAAACTCCGCGTACTGTTGGCACACGTGTCACGTCCACTATGCATTTCTATTGTATTTATTATTCTAAGTTATAAGTCTGAATATAAGTATATAAGTTGCGTGTGCCTTATTCCAGCGTAACCATAGTCGAGTTTTGGAAATTTGACCAGTCAGAAAAAAGTCACTATTTAGTTGGTTCTAGTCGCAAAAAACTGTATTTAGTCGGTCCGCCGTTCAAAAGTTACAAGGATGTTTTACTGTCCACGCTGAAATAAGCTTTTCCCAGCGGCACCATTTCTCAATCTCGAGAACCACAACACCTAGCTTAGATCTGATAACACAAAAAAAAATCGTGATTTAGTCGGCTCTAGTCGTAAAAAACTAGATTTAGTTGTTACGCCGTTTTGACGTTATTATGGTGTTTTACTGTCCACGCTGAAATAAGGTTATTCCGGCGGCACCATTTTTGAACATCGAGAACCACAGCTCCTAGCTTAGATCTGATTGCACACAAAAAAGTCGTGAATTAGTCGGTTCTAATCGCGAAATTTTAGAATTAGTCGCCCCTTTGTTTAGAAGATACAACCGATTTATTATTTTATGGTTATACGTGTGTTAGTGTCGGAGCTCATGTACAAATTTTGCATAATATACAGAATTCGTTGTTTATTTTTTTAAAATACATGCTATTTGAAAGTTTTAATAATGTTTAATTTTTAATACAAGGATATTAGCAAAAAATATACAGTTATTTTTGCTTAATGGCATTAAGATTTATCGATTGTCATGATATTTATTAGTGTATGTATGTCGTGTTGGGCTCCTGGCTTACACGAGACGAACGAGGCGCGTGGAGTACAGTCGCGTACGATCATTGATCAGAATAATTTAGTAATGAATGAATGACTTCATTGAATAATGACTGACTGACTGAGAATGACTATTATAATTTACAGCGCAAGTTATTTTCAGCTACAATTTGTGATACGGTTAAATGTGACTCTAAAAATACAGTAGATATTTAAAATAGTTTTTTATTACACTTTATTAATTCAAAATTATTTTAATCACCACGAACACGATATCTTGAGTGGTTTCACAAAGAACATTTGGAGCGGTAACCATCCTTATACTCCGTCCAATGGTTGGACGGAGTATAAGGATATTTAACTTTTGACATATGCATGCCTCTGAAGTTCCGTAATTATTGATAAAGAACCATTGTGCAGCCATAGACAAAAAAATACCATACTTCCTTCCTGGCCTCTTGTATTTTTTAATTTAAGTGAAGCAACGTGCTCTTTAGCTCCGATATTTATCGAGCCAACAGATTATGTAACGGATATAGACAGGTATCAAAATTTATCAACTTGAATAAAGTTGATAAATTTTGATACCTGTCTAATAATTTATTCTGAAATGAAATAAATTATAAATAATTATAATAAATTTTTATTGTTCATTATAATAAATCGTTGGATTCTTCTCCGTATGAACGGGGATCATCACTTGAATCTTCATTAACACTAATTAGTAATTCTTGAGTACACAAATTGTCAAACGCAACATCACGATCCCAATCAGGTAATGTCTTTTTTTACTCGCTCACACTCATGATTCTTCAAAAATAAAATCAATAGTTATAAAAAAAAAACCTGATCAGAAACGCATTGGGACATCACTAATTGATTAGAATTCGAGCTGTCAAAAGCTAAATAAATGGTTGGACGGAGTATTGTGTACGATTTTTCTACGTAAATGCACCTTTCAATGAAAATAATTGAATATCGCAATATCTTCTAAACAAAGGAGCGACTAATTCTAAAATTTTGCGACTAAAACCGACTAATACCCGACTTTTTCTGGGTGCAATCAGATCTAAGTTAGGAGCTGTGTGTTTTTGTATCTCGAAATACAAAAATGGTGCCGCCGGAATAACCTTATTTCAGCGTGGACAGTTAAACACCTTAATAACTTCAAAACGACGTAACGACTAAATGTAGTTTTTTTACGACTACAACCGACTAAATCACGACTTTTTAAGTGTAATCAGATCTAAGCTAGGTGTTGTAGTTCTCGAGATTGAGAAACGGGGCCCCTGGAATAAGTTTATTCCAGTGTGGACAGTAAAACACCCTAAGGACTTTTGAACGGCGGACCGACTAAATCTAGTTTTTTGCGACTAGAACCGACTAAATAGCGACTTTTTTTCTGGCTCGTTAAATTTCAAAAACTCGACCATGGTCACGCTGAAATAAGGCACACCACCCTTGTGCCCAATGCCGGTGACATTATTTTTTTTTATATTTACCAAGTGACTGGACGAACAAGTAGTGCCTATATAGTCGAAACACAAAACTGCGAATTGGCGCGACGCGAATTCGCGACACAAACAAACGACACAAATCGCTGCGATGCAATTTCGTGCGGCGAGGCATCTCATTGCCATGGTTCGGGTAACCATCCCTTCGACAGACATCAACCGTACTGAATGTATTTTTTAAACTAGGTTTTTTGCACAGGAGTTTTGCACTGCTGTTATTGATAAGTATGGGAAAAAACACAAAGAAGATTAACATCACAGGAATGCGCGATGCGGAGCAATTCGCAAGTTCTTGCGTTGCGTCGTGCGAGCTCGTAGATTTCTGCGACGCGACGTCGCATCGCAGTTTTCTGTTCCGACCCATACATAACAGTTGCAGTGCCACTCAGAGCTTTAAATCGCAAAGATCTGAGGGGCACTGCCACTGCACCCGTCACCCTGAGACATAAGTTGACAAGTCCCATGTGCCCGTAACTTCACCAGCACCCTTACCCTTAAAAACCGGATCACAGTAACGCTGACATTACTGCTTGGCGGCAGAAATAGGTACTTCCCCGAACTCCTTCACACGAGCTTTAACTTTTACTGCTACTAAAAAAATGATGAAGATATTTTCCTTCACCGAAAAGCTTATAGTAAATTTCAAATCAAAGTCAACTTTTACCTGTGTGTTATCCAAAATGCGATGCACCCCAGCACATAACCGATTGAGGAATTTGGCTCGTTCAGTGTTACTGAATAGCGATCGCCGCACGCTAGCCAGTTGCACTAAGCAAGCTAAAGCCAGACTAGCAAGAGACCCGCTCAGGGCATGATATAGTTCGAAGAAGAGATCAAGTGTGCCGGATTCGAGAAATGTTGGACGCCACGATGTTGGGATCTGTGGAGTATAAGTATAATGAGCAACGTACTTACTTTATAAAATAAAAAATGTTTTATTGAGATAATTTTTATTATGATTATTAATATAAAGATCGACTTGAACCCACGACCATACTGCTGCAGCGTATTATTGCTCTTATCAACTGAGCTACGAGTCAAGCCAGCGAGTTGTCAAAATTCTCCTATGCGTTTTTGTTAAAGATTTTCTTTGTACTGGGGATCGACAAGAACAACCCTCCATATCGACCCCTCCCACGTAAAGTATCGTATGTCAAAATTGCCAAGTTTACAGGAGAGCCTTTTAAAGTTTTGAATTCACTGAAATAAGCATAACACGTGACTTTAGATTTCTCACTTTTATTCAGCAAATCTCGTTACACACGTTGAGTATCATAAAATCCTAGATACGGTTAGATAATCTATTAGATGATCATTCTATGTGAGTAACAAGCTTTGCCGAATGAAACGGAGAACTTTAAAACACTCCCCTGTAAACTTGTCAATTTCGACATACGATACTTTACGTAGGAGGCGTCGAATTGTCATTTTAATCCGTCTTCAAAAAAACAGACAATAGAAGAAATTTAACATTAATTTGTTGGTGTCAAATTTATTGTTGATGGTTAAGTAGTAAGGCTGCCACACGGAAGAAAAAAAAAACGAAGTACTTTAAACCTCGATTACTATCAGAGCCGCTGTCGCCAAAACTCGCAAATTCATAATTTGAAACATTATGAAATCTTGATAAGGATTGGTAATACTTTCTAATTTAAAAAGAAATAAGAAATTCTGGACCGTTACTATAATTTATACTTTACGCTGTTGGCATATATATCGTTGACAGTTCAATACCTATTATAACAAGTTACGACGTTTTGATTTTATATTCAAATTTCAATCAATATGCTGCCTACCTAGCGGTGAATAGCTGAACGACGACGAATTCGAGATGATTACTTAGTTCTCAAAAAAAAAGAGGCGACCATATTGCAGCGACATAAGGTTTACTTTCGTTAGTTGTAACAAAAAAATTATTACGATAAACAGCAAATTGAACATTAATTAAAATTAAATAAAATGAGACTCAATTATGATATATCATTTTTGCACTCCACAGTAGCGAATGCTTGTTTCTACGCTGCATGCTTCTACGATTTTCGAGGTTTTACGCGAGTTAACTGACACGACCCTAACATACAAATCGAGAATAGTGCATTGAGCCCACGTTTGCGAAACTCTGCGAACTGTTGTCACACGTGTCACGAAAACTAAGCACTTCTACTGTATTTATTATTCTGTGAGGCCAACAATAAAAATAGGACTAAGGAAGGCAATAACGCAATTATAGTACCGGCACGCTATGATGGCCGTTTTGACGTTTGTCCGCTCATCAAGTTTCGTATTAATTCATAACTACGTTGAAGGAGCTAATAGACGTACGTTGTTGTCAATAGTGACGTGCAGTAAACTTTATGGATGTATAATTTTACGACACAACTCGGCATTTTTTATTCGAAATTCTTATTTCTTAAAAATGAAATAATACGATCTTCACTTATAGGACCGCTGTCCTGCACAACTTCTACCTCCGGCAAACTCGCGTCAAAGCTCAATGCAAAACAAAGCAGTTTCGAATTGACGATATATTAAGTAAACATTTTTATTATCGTTTTATTCAAATTTTTTAATCAGCTACCCCTAGCAATACTAGTTATAAATCTAAAAACTTATAGATGTTATTCCCATTTGATTATATTTTTTTCGATTATGAATTGACATTTGACCTCTCTATTGTAATCTGTAAAACGGTCATCATAGGCCGGTACTGTAGTAATCATTAGAACGTATTATATATAATATTCCCGTCTAATTTTACCTTTAACAATCTATCGACAAAACTGTCGATAACAATAAGATAGAATAGAAACAGTCCTAATATTTAAAATTTTATGAAAACTGGCAACCCTGCAAATGTCATTTGCAGGGTTTCATTTGCAGACCACCTTTTTTTTTCATTTTGATGGTTCAGTAGTAAGGTTACCAATAGAGAGAATGCCTTTGCTCCGGTACTCATAGTAAATGGAAATTTAAATTTGTAGTGGGCAACATCAATATAGTAGGAAAAAATGTACTAGATACTTCATATTTTGATTGACCAGAACTGATCAATCCTCGTACGTTTTAAGATCTTTATGAATTTGTATAAAATTTAACTAAAATATATCAATTACATTGTGGGTTACGATTGCAGTTTGAAGTAACTCGCATTTACGCCATTTACCTTTTTCCAATCATTATCTACACACTGTAATCTTGCCGACCAGTACCAACAAAAATTACGTAACACATACATTGATTTGGCTTCGTTAAAATTTCAAAGATCAAGTTTATTTACTAATCGGCAAGATTTGAGACCCGCTACTAAATAGTAAATTGTGACTTACACGCACTTAATTCATCGTTGATTTCGCGATAAACATTATTAAAATGTATTTTGCTTGATATTGAAGCGGATTCTCGGTAATTTTTGCTATAAAATCGTTACTTTCAAGTGAAAAAACTTTAGCAGACAGCCATTTCATACAAGTAATATTTTGAATCGACATGTGACAAGTTAACATTGACAGGTGAAAGTCGTTCGATTTTTCTAATATTTATTGCCATAGGATTCTGGTACACTTATACCTGGACAGTGCAGAGGTCATCGGAAGACTCATCACTCGTGGTTCCGATGAAATCGAATGTGAGGCAGTTGAGCGCGAGCCGCAGCAATGCCGCGATAAGCGCATGCTGCCGTTCGTCGCTGAGGTCCAACGTCTTGCCACGTGCGGCGCTTAACAGGGAGCAGGCCAGGCGGAACATTTCGTACAGTTGTGTGTCTCTGGAAACAATAATAATTAAATAAAAATGTAACTCTTCACTACATTCGCTATATAGACTAACGTTAGTAACTTTGTGGGGTGGTATTCAACCCCAAAACTAGATACGTCTAAAAAGGTAGGTCCATGTTTTATTTCTTTTTGTTACTTGAATAATAAATAAGAAAAAGAATTCTGTTTATAGAAAATTACTCTTTATTCAAAATTAACCAAATATCTTACCAACGATTAAAGCACTTAACGAAACAGTACAGTTTTGACATCATATAAAACTAGTTTATGGAATTTGTCTCACAAACAAAGATAATCGACTTTTTTTTAAATCTTACATTTAAGAAGCTTTACCATGTGCGTTAATGGTAATGTCGCTCTGTAATGCTACTTAATTTATACATCTTACCTAGATTAAGACTATTTAAATATATTTTGTACAGTATCTTGGCTTCGTTCGACGTAGGAACGGCCAGTATACTGTTACACCACCCAGTCTGTCGTATGTTAACCACACTGCCCAACTTTCTCCCGAGTCTCTCGATCAGAACACATTCCATCAAAACGTGGTAAACGTCTTCAATGACGCCGCATTTGTTACAATATGGAGTTGGTGTAATGCCCATCAGAAAGGTAAACTTCTTTGAATGAATGTCCCCAGAATGCAACCTCAGAGCCGTCACAACATTAAGGGTCGTATTCTAGAACTCTACTCAATGCTCAAGTCAGGATTTGAGTATGGTTTAAAGCACTCGAAATCATACTCAAGTCCCTGCCATTAGGGTCGTATTTCCAGTGCAATCCTGACTTGAGCATTGAGTAGTGTTCTAGAATACGACCCTAAGTCTGTTCAGCATACAGTTATCAATCCACGGAATTTCCAGTGGCTCTGGTTGATAATCGACTTAAACAACAACAAAACAAGTATTTTGAGATTAAGTAAAGATCATTTCAGTAACTTATAAAGAAAAAACAAAAGTGGTACTTTCGTTACGCAATAACTTTGTGAAGCGATTTTGATGATTCTTTTTTTTTGTTGCAAGAGGGTACTTTAAAAAATATTCCAAGTCTAAAGGTGGCAAACTAGGGGAAGAATCGGGCACTTTTTGGGTAAGAGATGTAATTCCGAACTTTTAAGGCCTTTTTTTAAAAAAAAAAGTTACAATTAATTTGAAGACAAACAAGTCGGACGCCTAATGTTAAGCGACACGCCTGTCAGTAGCAGTTGTACTCAGAGCTTTATATCGCAAAGGGGCACTGTCACTGCACCCGTCACCCTGAGATATAAGTTCACAGATCCCATGTGCCTGTAATTTCACCAGCGCTCTAATCCTGCAAAAACGAAACGCAGTAATGCTCACACTACTGCTTGGCGGCAGAAACAGGAAAGGCAGTACTTCCTTGGACGAACTCTTTCACAAGGAGCCCTATTGGCAACGTGGCGGATAACTCTGACATCGGGATGGTATACACACCTGAACGAGCAAGCAATCTTTCTGTGCTTTGCGAGCGAGCGGTTGGCGTCCGCCTCGGAAACTTGGTTCATCTCGATGACAAGTTGTGACAGCAGCTGGACGCCGATTGTGCACATCTCCGCTGGGTTCTGGAATGTAGATAAACGATTATACCTATACTTTAGCCAAATTCGATGAAGAACAAATTATTCACAAACAAAAAAAAAATTACTGTTTTCACCTCAAGACGGTTACCACAATTTCGATATTTTTCCAGGAAATTCGATTCGGGTTATAATAAAATCTCGTAACTCAAATTTGTGGAATTGAGAAAACACGATTTAATAATTTTAAAAAATACTGTCCCGAAAAACACGTTATATGCCTCGGCGGAAAGGGAGTTGCCTGAGGGCGCGTTTATTTAACACGAATTTCATCGCGAGCACGCCGCGCTCTATTTATTTATATTATTTATTTAGCCTTTTCGCTTTAACTAGAGACGTTTTAACAGGGGGACGTCCTACGTTACCACGTCTCGGCAAACGTAACGTAGTACGTAAGTTGGACCGACGATCTGAAGAGTGGTAGTGTAGTGGGTAGTGATTGGATGCGGAAAACAGGTGATCGGGCACTACGGCGTACACTTAGGTAGGCTTATGTCCAGCAGTGGACTGCAATAGGCTGATTGATTACGTTTTAACTTAAATCAACCCCTCCTACGTAAAGTATCGTATGTCGAAATTGCCAAGTTTACAAAAGAGCGTTTTAAAGTTTTGAATTCTCTGAAAATAAGCATAACACGTGACTTTCGCATTTCTCAGTTTTATACGGACAAGGTTTCCTATATTGTGTTGCAAAACCTTGCAAACAAAACACGAACTATGATTATTCTGTATGTGGGTCTTGTGAGAAGTATACTAGAGTACTGCAGCATAATATGGTCACCTATTTATAACAATCATATCAACAGGATAGAGACGATACAGAAACGCTTTGTTCGTAGTCTTGCTTCAAAATTGGTATTAAGAAAAAAACTTGTAACATATCGACTCATCCGTAGAACAAAGATCTACTCGTATATGCAAGACTACCTGTTTTCAGGACATAGTACATTTCGTTCGTTCTTCTTCGCTGTGGATGTCAGATCGGTCGTTGTTCGATTTTATATTTCCGAAACGAAATAAGATATACAGGGTTACAGGAAAAGTCGTGCTAGATCCGTTAAGGGCGTGGAGTACTCATCATTTCTGACTTATTTTACTATGAAACACCCTACCCTAAACTTAACCCTTTTCGAGATATTTGACTTTTATTTTTTTTATTCAAAATTGCCGATTTTTAGGCTACTAAATTTAATTTTGTTTATTTTGTGTGTCTTATTATTATAATTATTGCATTTTTACATGTGTGATAAGATGCTTTAGGACCTCAATCATTAAAATAGTGAATAAGTTAATTCAATACGCCGTAGTAGGAAAGAGAAAGTTAAGAAATTAAAAACAAAATTAGAAAGTTTATTTTTCTCTAAGGGATATCTAAAAAAAATATTATGGTAGTTGATCGGCAGATAAGTTATAAAATATCTACGTTTCATCAGCTATCTTTTTTGATAGTTGTTATTGAGCTACAAATTTGTTTGTTTATGGTTAGTGTCATAGTTTTACTTGTATTATATAATTTGTATCTTGTAACTGTGCCAAAATAAATAAAATAAGGTGTAAGTCAAAGTATTACAAATACCTGTAGAAAACTCGATATCGCGTTGAGGACATTGTGGAAGACGAATTCGTCTTTTACAGTGTCGAACCACCCCAGCTTAGTGATCCGAGCGAATAACGACACTAGTGCCTGAAAAATATAACACATTATTGGTTTACACTTGATTGTCGAACAATATATTTGTTTTTAATTAATAGATAAGTAGGAAATGAAACTTTTTTTCTGATCCAAATATACGCGATTAGTTTTTTCAAACAAACTAACGTTTCGGGTCTTTTACAGTCAGTCAGCTGTGACCATAGGACCTGTAAATGGCCCGAAATGTTGGTTTGTTTGAAAGAACAAATATACAAGATTTTGAACAGAAAAATATAATTTCAGTTCCTAGGTGTAAAGGCGCATTTCCATTATGTCGTAACTTTTAATTTGTCGTTAGACGACTGTTTTAGCCTGTTCCAATATCACGACCATTTGTCGTGACTGTGTCGTGGACTATTTTTTTTTTATATAATATCAAGTGACGTGACGAACAAGTCGTGATGGTAAGCTACACGCATGTCCATAACAGTTGCAGTGCCAGACAAAGCTTTAAATCGTAAATATATGAAGGGCACTGCCACCCTGAGACATAAATTGACAAGTCTACCGTGCCTATAATTAATTTTACCAGCACCCTTACGGCGCGTGTACACGCTAAGAAATTCGTCGTGTCTGCAACGAGAATGACCTTGTACACGACAAGAATTTTGTCGGATCTAGCCACGAAAATATTTCGTGTCTGTTGCAGAAAAGAAACTGATGAGTATGTACACCATACGAATGCTTTCGGGCAGACGTGTGTAGGGTAAACGTGTCAGTGCACTTCCAGGTAGCTGTCGTTTTAGTACCGACTGTGTGAACAAATATGTTGATTACTAATAAAAAAATGATGATTGCAAATTATATGTATAGAATAATGAATATTTCTCTCCATGCCTCAAAAGTACGTCGTTTATCTTTATAAATCTCTAAGGTTTTGTCTTCTACTAAACTTATAAATAAATCATGCATTTTATTAGTCGCAATGAAATTAGTGGTCCAACAGTTAGTACTTTGCAAAATCAGTCAACGCGAATAAACGTTCGTTTACTGACAATGCGCCCTATGCAATAGCGGCAGAGCGCGTCGCGTCGGGGATAGACAAGATTTTTTTCTTGTCCGGCGTCGAGGCTGTGTACACAGTTCGTGTGTAGAAACGACACGAATTCTTGCATAGACCCAGCGACTTTTCTTAGCGTATACACGCCCCCTTACCCTTCGAAACTGGAACATAGTAATGCTTGGCGGCAGAAATAGGTAAGGTGGCAGTACTTCCCTGGATGAACTCTTTCACAAAGAGCTCTACTGTTACATTTTTTTTTGACGTTTTTTTATCGTTCAACGTGTCTAGCTGTTCCCACTAAATTGCAACGACAATTTAGCAGTTTACGGCAGCCGCCTTGTCGTTTGCACAACAAAACGTGACGACAATAGTAACTGCGATTATCTGTCCTCTCATTTTTATTGTGACGTTTTATTTATCGTCAGTCGACTGTCGTTCTAGCTCCTCCCATTGTCTTGACAGTCTGTCGTCGTAATGCCAAAAACTTTCTCACATTCGGTGTTCTAATTACCGTAGCCATTGCTTTTTCTCGCATATTATACCCAACAGCATTGAAATATGAAAACTTTAAGCTAAACTATGAATATGTCTAAATGGCATTAGAATAGACAAAGTATTTTTTAAGTTATTAAGACACAAATATTTTATGGAAACGGTAATTAGATCTAATTACCAAAGCCATGGATCCCGTGACTAGAATGTTCAAACATTTTTAAGAAAACCTAAAGAAAATGAGAACAAGTAACAACATGTTACAATATCGAATTCTTAGGTTTTCGCGATTGTTACACATTGGAAATCAAACTATTTTGATTTTATTTCTATAGACTCAACCGTGACCATGGGACCTGTAAAGGGTCCGAAAACTCGGTTGGTTGGAAAAACAAATATACGCGATTTAAATCCGGAAAAATAGTTTCATTTCCAACATATTACAAAACAACTAATAACAAAATATTTTATAATATATAATCGGCTGTTCTTGTAACAACTGTGATTAATAATAAGAAAGAATTGGATTAATTTTTAATCATTACCACTAACCAAACATTTTTGCTACACCACCGTGACTACGTGAATTTCTTTACGTTATTCGAACAAAGTAGTAAAGTATTTTCACAATAAATAGGCTAACCTCACAAACTAGAATTTTTGTTTCCGAAATGACGTTTGTTCGAATTTTCATTACACCGAAAACCGAATTATAGCGAAACCGTTGTTCTTTCAGAATATGTTGGATGTATATCGCAAAGACACGATTAGTTTCGTTTATTAAGTTAGATTTAAAAGAAAAATCATTTTCTTCCTAAAATTACTTTCGAGATTATGAAAATTCGAGCAAACGTCATTTCTGGAAAATGTCATTTAGGACTGCTGATAGTTAACCCAATAAATATATTAATATCATGGCTGTAAAAACTTTTTTTAATAATATCAAGTGACAGCACGAACAAATCGTGCGCCTGATGGTAAACTACACGCCTGTCCATAACAGTTGCAGTGACACTCAGAGCTTTAAATTGCAAAGATCTGAGGGGCACTGCCACTACTCCATCGGGTTCATCCCCTTTGCCATCCTTAGAGGTGGAATATTTTCTTCAAATTTTAATAGGACCACAATATAACTGCCTCCGTGGCCGAACGGTTACCATGCCGGACTGCCACGCAGAGGTCCCAGGTTCGATTCCCGGGCCGGGAGAAATAGTTGTATGGCCTACAATTATTTCTCTCGTGAGTTTGGGTGTAATTTGTGGTTGTCTATGTGTGTGTCCATGGCACCCGCGACACAGGGTTTCCCTAGTGCGGGGCTATGTTGAGTGTGTGCGTTATTTATTTATTTATTATTTATACATATATTTATGAGGTACACCCTGTCTAAGAAAAAAAAAATATCGAAATCACAAATGTCGAAGTAATCGCGCAACATACACACAAAAAAAACAGCCGTATTGTGAAACTCCTCCTTTTTTGAAGTCGGTTTAAAATGAAAGGATGTGCAAATAAAGAATACATTCTCATAATAATTTTAAATTCATAAAATAATTTTTAAATTCACAAAGTAATTTTAATAAATTATAATAAAATAATTAAGTATATTTATATTTTTATTATATTTAGCAGCTCGTGTGCTATTTGGAGATGGACAGTAAGTTCGCTTATTAGATGTTACTTGTTTAAAATTATATTATACAAAAATGTGTTTCACTGTTACGAAGATATGTACGTTAACACATATATTTATATTCTATTGGGATACCAAATAAGTAAATAAAACAAAATGCATAATCACAATTTTATTTCAGGAAACAAATATAAGTTATTTAAAAAAGAAATAAGCAACAAATAAAACACAGTAACAATTAAAATGAAAATTAACATTAAAATTTAAAATAAAAAATTACATAAAATTTAAGATTTTAAATCCAAAATTGAAAATTGTAAATTCTAAAATATCAATAAGAAATATTTCTTATTTTTATAATAATTAAATAAATATAATATCAGAGTATCATACCTCTGTAGGTGAGAGCTAAAGGATCTTAAGTCCATATTTTACAATTCAAACCGTTTTACAAACAAGGCTTTGAAATGCTAAAAATCACGTAATGGCAAAAGATATTAAGTACCATCGTCATTTGCTTTTTATTTAACATATTTTACTTGAACGCCTAAAGAGCCTCATTCTCTTTGCGTTGCACTTCCGCTGTGACGACGACTGGAGATCTTTCATGGTTATGTTGCACGTTATAACAATAATAATAATAAATCTTTATTTACATTACGGACAACAAGGATCCATGAAGTGTTAGTAACAAATATAGCTTATAATTAGGTTAGTAGTTAAATTCTACTATGGATTTTGTGGTTGTTATTAAATGTCGCAATTAAGCATGCGTAATAACGCACACACTCAACATAGCCCCGCACAAGGGAAGCCCTGTGTCGCTGGTGCCATGGACACCAGTGGCGAGGCTTCCAAATAACTCGATTTTCACCGGCTTGCCTAAAATTTTCCACGTATTATCAAATACTAGTTTTAGAGCTAAATTTTAAGTGTAGAATTATTTAACCAGTGAAATGAAGTGTACTCGTACCTTGTGTGCCAATAAGTTGTGTTTAAGAGTCGCCAAGGCGCCTAATTTTTTCTTAAGGTAGGTTTTTGTTTTGCTAATGTTTTTGCTAACAACAATTTTCAAGCGTCGCCACTGATGGATACACACAGACAACCGCAAATTACACCCAAGCTCATGAGAGAAATAAATGTAGGCCATACAAATATGTTTCCCGGCCCGGGAATCGCACTAGAGACCTATGCGCGGCATGGTAACCGTTCGGCCACGGAGGCAGTTGATATTATTGCATACAATACTTTCTAATCTATTATTGATAATAAATGCTCTATTTATGCACAACACGTAATTGTATATGAGTTTGAGAATTTTTATTTATATTCACGTTTTATTTAACCTTGAATAACGTTCAAAAGAAAATTCAAATTCATTCGTAACGTTTTATTTATCGTTAAGACGTTAGTCGCGTCTAGCCTGTTCCCATATCACGACTAGGGCATCGAAACCCGGACCTACTTTGAAAACCCGGGTTTTCGGGTAAATAGAATAGTCAAAACCCGGGCAGACCGGGTTTTTTCGAGCTTTTCGATATTTTTGTTACATTAAAAAAAACTGTCTTCCTATACTGATTTTCTACAATGGAACAAAGGAGAATTATCATAAACGAAACAGGACTTTCGAAATTACAAGACATTTTATAAAGTCTTAAAGAAATCTTCCATTCCATTTTACGCATTGCTAGTTTACTTGGTTGTTGGGTAGGGAAGAAACGTAGCAACTACGTTTCTTTACATGTAATTATTTGTCTAAGCGTGTTTTTATTACATTTATTATTGTATTCGAAGTGGTTTGTACATAATAAATAACAAAAAAAAAATTAAGTAAAATACTCGAAAAACCCGGGTTTTTAAGATCAAACCCGGGTTTCTTTGTAACCAACAGAACTGGGAAAACCTGGGTTTTCCCGGACCGAGTAAACTTGAGCTCGATGCCCTAATCACGACTATGTGTCGTGACTGTGTCGTGGACGTTTACTTTCTCGTTGAACGGCTGTCGTGGCTAGCTGTCCCCACTAGATCGTGACGACAATTTATCGGTTTCTCACTTTGTCGTTTGCACGACAGAATCGTTTGAAGTTGCGATTATCTGTTGTCACATTTTTTCCTGACGTTTTATTTATCGTCAGACGACTTTCGTTCTAGCTCTTGTCACGACAGTCTGTCGTCGTAACCACAAAAAGTCGTGAACGTGAGTTAATCCTATGTACTATATGTGAACAACTTCATTTCAAACATACAAACCACGACACTTTAAACTGCACGACTATCTATCGTCATGACATAATCGGAACGCGCCCTCATATGCTGTAAATTACTAATAAAATGTCATTGGCTCTTACCTGTACGACAAAATTGGCCAACTTCGGTCTAGTGGCGAGATAGTTAAGGACATAGTTTCTGATGTCCAGTCTTTGCTGCACTGTCAGACTTGTTGTGGACCTGTAATAACATAACTTTATTGTGTAACTGTTCTGTTGTAACTTTACAATTTAATTTAAACACGTTCACATATTTGTTTACAATCATAGCCATTTGTTTGTCTGTAACACGGAAGAAAAAAAATGGAAGTGCCTTAACCCTCGATACTATTACAATCGATGGTCGCCAAAACTCACATATTCTTAATTTGAAACACTACAAAATCTTGATATTGATTGGTCGTAGTTTCAAATTTTATAAAGAAATAACAAATCTGGATTGTAATATATAATTTAAACTTTACCCTGTTGGTATATCGTTGTAAGATCAATACCATCAATACCTATTATTGCAAGTTACGACTTTTTGATATTGAAATTTTAATCAATGTGCTGCCATCTAGCGGTTAATAGCTGAACGACGACGAATTGGAGTTATTAATTTAGTTCTCCAAAAAGGAAGCGACCATATTGCAGGGGTAAGCTTTACTTTCGCATCTTGTAACAATAAAATTATTTCGATAAACATAAAATTTATTAAAATAAGTCTTTCCGGTGATATGAAATACTTCCACGGATAATATTTTTGGAGAGCATTTTTTAAGATTTTAGAGAATTTGCACGAAATAATGATACAACCGTACCAATGTGAAAACGGCGGACTGAGCTCAGACAGATCTTTCGAGACCTATAGTTGGCACGCGCCAGACGCTAACTACTTCTACTTTATTTCTTGTTCTGTGGTACGTAATATAACACGTAGTAAACGCTTCTTATACGATTTTATGCGCGTGATGTATTTGTCCATTTTGTTAGGTTTACACTCAGTGATTTCTGCAGTGTTATTTTATGTCCATGTTTAAAAGTGTATTTCTGTTGGTGAATCTAAGAAATAAAATAAAATATTATTATAACTTGTAATAATTATTAATACAAAGATAGAACACTAAGAAAAAATTATTTCGATCCGGTAGCTATAAAGGTACCTGGCTGAGTGAAGAACAGGTTTCATAGATTTCTCACAAGATGGCGCTACGGCAAAAAATCGTTAAAAACCTAAAACAAAGATCTGCATCAAGCACATAGAAAAATTCGTAAGGTCCGCTAGTTCGTTCCGTGGCGTAGTTGGCATAGCGTCTGCCACGGTTTTTGCTGGAAGACATTGGTTCAAATCCAGCCAGATCGAAGGAATTTTTTCTTAAGTGTTCGTACAAAATTCCTACAAATCTATGTGCAAAATTTTATTAACATTGGTTAACTGAAAGTGAGTGAAATTCAATTAACCAGATTGATCCCCTAATTTACCTCCCTTAGAAAAAAGAATAATTTTCTTCAATTTTCAATGGAACCAATACTGAGGTATGGGGATGAAAGGGGTTTCAAACAAAAAAAGAAACTTCGAAATCGGATGTAGAAATGGATTGGATCTTGTCTTCTTGGAGGTCCTCTCCTACCAGACTAGTCCATCAAATTCTTTAACCAGGAGTAATGTCCTCTGCCCACACATAGTTTTCCAGCAGTTTTACCCAAGTACATAATTACCACTATCGCAGACCCCATTAAACTATTGTCTTCGCTGGCATGGACCCCTTTTAGCTTGAAGTGGATCCCAACACTTTGGGAATCATCATCAACCTACTTATTCACCCCGCTGCTGGGCACGGGGCTTCTCAGAAGAGGGTTTAGATAGATAGATAAATAAAACGATTATTGTCTTGCATCACACACACAACAATTTAATACAGTAAATTGATTAAAAGGGACACACAGAAATCAAAATTAAAGAAAACAAAAACATGCAGCAACATAAATTAAAAAACTAATAGTAACCTAATTATCAACAGCTTGTATGTGCTAAAGCAAGCCAAATAGGTCGTGACTCAGTGCAAAATTTGCTCAACAGCAAGGCACTGATTTTCAGCCACCACCTTCGAGAGTAGCACGTTGCGGTGCATCAAAAGCAAAAACATTGCGAAGTGGATGTAGTGTGCATATAAGTTAGTATCACGTGAATATTATTTATGTATGTATGTATGTAAACATTATTGTACAACACAAACAAATTACAAATTAACAAAGAAATAGAACGTTATTGTACAAAGGCGAGCTTATCCCACAAAGGGATTTCTTTCAGCTAACCTTTGAATAATTGAAAGGAAAGTTGGTTCCTGGGTGGGCAATAAAATTTAATAAATCATTAAATCGAATGCTACATACTCAATAATTCAAGAATAAATTTATTATATCAAATGTACACACGAATACACAATATTAAATAAATGATGAGACACTAATATATATAAAATATATAATAAAATGAATGTATAAAATAAGACTGTAACTAAACATGTGAAATGTAAATAAATATTTTGTAAGCTCTAACATGAGGAATCTAAATAATCCCAAGATTTCAAAAGGGCACCTGTGAAAGCCCGAACCGAGGGTGACCTGAGGGTGAGGGTCTGACTTGGACTAGGAGAAGGTTCCACATACGAGCAGAGTTCACTGTGAACGATTCAGAATACTTTTGTGAACTGTGTTGTGGAATGACGAGGGAGAAATTAGTACCGGAACGCAGGCGGTCACCCATAGCCTGGCGGTATTGGAAACGCTCACGAAGATAGCTAGGAGTAGAGTGATGGAAAAGGATTTTATATAGGAAACATAAAACGTGCGAATTTCTACGGAGACGGATAGGCTGTTTGATAAGTATTATGTACATTATAAAAAAGGTTTAAGCCACAGTCCGCCATAGTGGCCCAATGCGGGACTTCGCAAATTTCCGAGGGTTGTGAACGTTCTCATATTATTAAAAAGGATGAACGTAGATGATAGAGTGAAATACGTTGATTTAAAGAGACACGTTTATTGTTCGGTCACCAGAATATAAGTGTCAAAATATACAATTTAAATTAAAAGGTAAACTTACAATACAATACAAATATATTATTGTTTTTTTTATATATATATAACAAATATTACAAATATAACAAATATTTTATTATATTTATTGTATGCGGACAAATACATAATAACAATACAAACAAGCAAAAATTACAGGTACAACAGGCGGCCTTACTTCTAAATAGCAATCTCTTCCAGGCAACCTTCGGGTTACAGGAAAAACAGTAAAATAAAATTATTTGAGGGCGCAACAGAATACACGTATTACACATATACAAATGAAGAAAATAATAATAATAAATAAATTATATACATATATACAGGCTGTATATTTGAAAGTGGGGCATACTTATAGAGTGCGTTATATTCCTGATTCTGAACCCAAAGAAATAATGAACTAATGAACTTAAACTTTACAAAAAATATTTTTTAAATCGACTACTACTCGAGAACAACATTAGTTATCGCAATCTATGCACATCACTATTATTGCTCCGACGCAGTGGCGGGTGGCGACACGGCGGCGAAAAACAAAGCACGGGTCGGGAGTTGGAGGCGCGAGCGCATACGCGAAATTGCTCAGTGCACGCGCGACCTTGATCTAACGAAGACACGTAAATTATTTGTACTTCCGCTCGCCCGACAGCCGCAAAATGGATATTTATTGTAACGTCGAATTGACTGAGATGGTGCGACTGCACGCAATAAGTGGTGATAGTGTGAGGCAAGCTATTGAAATGTTCCCAAATCGGAGTTTACGCAGAGGAGGTGAGCAGTGTCGAAGTGTTGCGTGAGAGGATTATCTCAGCATTTTATACTGTGAGACAAAATGTGTTTGTGTTGTACAATTTAAAACAAAATTTACTATGCCGTGCTAGACTATGCATTGTGGAAAACGGTGGATATTTTGAACATTTGCTCCGTACCACGTAAGTGTAAATAAACTGTAAATAACTAAAAAATCAATCATTGTAAATAATTTAATTTCACATTTTTAACTACGCCAAAAACCTCAATTCTTATTAAATGGTAACTAATTACGAAATCATAAACTTATCTTTTTTAGTACGTAAAACATTTCGATGATAGTTCAAGTAAAAAATAATCAACATAAGCCAAAACGTAAATGTGAAATCATTGTTATTGTTGCTGTCTCACTCGGCGCTCGCTTGGTAGTATTCCCATTGCACTCGAAATCAAGCGTAAAGGGAAACGGTTTATTCCTATGTACACTTCAAAACACATTTTGTTGATTTATTTTTTGTTCTATCCCATATACTAATTTTATTTTAGTCTATGTTAAGTTGTAACATGATTTACTATGACATGTATGAATGTCTCACTTTCAAATATACAACCTGCATAATATTACGTTACTACGCATAATAAAAATAGGAGAAAATAATAATAATTAAAGTATAAGAACTACATTTATTATTCTCACGAGAGAAATAAATGTAGGCCATACAAATATTTCTCCCGGCCCGGGAATCGAACCTGGGACCTCCGCATGGCAGTCCGGCATGGTAACCGTTCGGCCACAGAGGCAGTTAAATGAATCATATAATAAATCATAGGTTATTATATTATATTATCTTACCTGCTTATAAGTTTAGCAAGGGTAGTAGCGGCAAGTAGCTGCGAGTAGCTGGAGTCGGCGCGCTCTAGTAGCATCTGGCATTTGCTTAACGTGTCCGGTGACTCCTGGAAGCAGTAATACAACAGTGTCGATTACACACAGTTTTGATTATCTTTCTCATATTTTCGTTTTTTTTAACCGACTTCAAAAAAGTAGGAGGTTCTCAATTCGACTCTATGTTCTTTTTTTTGTATGTATGTTACACGATAACTCCGGTATTTGTGAACCGATTTTCATGATTCTTTTTTTTTTGTTGGAAAGGGGGTACTTCCATAGTAGTCCCATTTCATTTTTAAGCAGTTCATCCACCTCTAATTAAAGAATAAATTTTGAGTTCTCCTTCAAATCCTTACACTTAGATACTCGTTCGATTGCGATTGAAATATTCGATTTACTAATCGATTACAAAAACTTTAATTGGATGAACCGAATGTTTTTTTTCGTACAGCACTATGCAACCATAGACAAGTCATAGCTGTATAGATAAAAAATAACCTCCCTTGTGAACTACCATTTTTCAAATATAATTTTACGCTGCTATTCAAATAAATATTCTTGGAAAAAGTGATGAGATATCAAGTTGAAATCTTCGAAATATGCGTGAAAGTGTTATTTATTCAATTTATTGAGTGATTGCTTTAGAATTTTAACATAACAGGTTTGTTTACTTTTTGTTGAAAATGGATTTTAACAGATTAGTCTGTTTCATACGAAATTGCATGCCTATTTTTATACCTATTGATTTGTAAAGCATGTTTCAATAAAAAGATGTATCAAGATTGTTTACATTTAGTTATGTACCTAAAAATAAATGGACTACAGTTTGTTTATAATTATTAATAACAAAGATTTTTATTTATTTTTTTGACCAACTCCAAATAAAGGAGGAGGTACTCAATTCGCCTGTATGGTTTTTTATGTATATTACGCGATAGCTCCGGCTTGTGAACCGATTTTGAGATAATTTTTTTGTTTGTGTCTTGTTGTGTTGTGGCTAACTAAGCGATGAATGACTTTTGAGGTCGGTTTTTCGAGTACTCTGTACTGTATTCTTTTTCTTGTGTACACCACACTAGAAAAAGAACACTTGTGGTATGCAAATAAATGTATTTTCTTTCTTTCAATCAACTGAAATACAGTAAACCGAAAGTAGAAATGGAAGTAAAAAAGCCCTCAGCTCTCATAATCCTTGGATCATCGGGCCACTCTGGTCCAGTGTCGGTATGTACGCTGTGTACAGTCCCGCACACAGAGCGTCATCATAGACGCCACAACGAAGCCGGACCAGCCCCCTCTGGCATGAGTTCTCATCATCGGGCAAGATATTAGTTGCTATATTTTTAATTCTTCTTTCTCACACAAACTTTGTTATAATACCTACATGCACTCAAATGCGTACCATAATGTTATATACAAAGTGGTAGGTAACATAAATTAAGTTCATTATGAACCCTGTAAGGTCACAGCAAATGACAAAAATCTAATTAAATTAAACTAATTCTAACCCTATTCTATTTACTAAAGCCTTAAGATTATTACAGGTACAAATTGCTCATAGTGTATTTGTTGAGATTTTTTTTAATCATAATAATCATTTATATAAATTTTCTTTTATAACAATATAATTTATTAAACATATTATCTATATTATGTATTAAATATTATAATAATAATGTATATTATTAATTGGACATATCCCTATCATCTAAGTATTCTGAGAAAAAAGGCGAGGAGAACATTTCTAATACAGTTCTGTAAGGGATTCACATATGACTGGTTTCAAATCAAACAACGATTGTATATACTGTGAAGATCTGGAGGCTGGCTTTTGCCTGGAAAGGTTGGCTGCTGGCTCTTCTTCGGGTTTTTCTATTTATGTCAAGCTTAGGCTGTTTTTAGACTGTGTATCTATTGGCGCCAGAGGGCCTTTTATAGGTGAGCGAGGCTTCCTTTTCCCACCAAAAGTTACCCCTTTGTACTATTTATTCATCTTTCACAGGTTAATCATTACAAATAGTTTTCTATTATACATTTCTTACTGCTAATTTGTACATAACGTCTTAAAAACTATATAAGTGGTACATAACAACTTCAGTCAAGCGCCCGCGGCCCAAGTGCCCCCGCTTCAGGTGTATACGTAGTCGCCCTAGCTGCGTATGCGCTGCGTATGCCGCGTCGTAGCAAGACAATTCACCCTTACCAATTCAGTATTCGCAATGAAAAAACTTAATAATGGCAACATAGCTTTATCAACTGAAATAAATAAGTCAAGGGGAGGTTTATCAATAAAAAATATATGTTTTATCACACACTGCATGCCATGCTACGGCCACGGTACTTGAATTCATGTGCGATATATTGAACCTTATTAACCGACATCGATAAATGGAGGTTTTCAATTCGATTGTATTTTTTGTATATCACGCGATAATTCTGGCGTTTGTCAATCGATAAAAAAGAGAAAGAGAGAGGGTACCTAAATATTGGTCCCAATTAAATTTGAAGACAACATTCCAACTCTAACGGTGGCAAACTGGGGGATGAATCCGGTTTCGCGCATTTTTCGGTAACCATATGCAATATAACTTGGCAAACAGATGTAATTCCACGAACTAGGAGGTGGGTTTCTTTTATGATAAAAAATGTTATAAACAATATTTAAAGAACTGTAATCCAGTTTAATAGGTACCTGAAAGGCGACAACAGCTTTCTCGGCCTGGTCACGTACAACAGGATCCTGAGACTCGTACAGCTGTTTGCACAGCAGCTCTATCTGACGCACCTCCTGAAAAATATGAAATATTACTTTTAGAATTTAAATTATTCCTTCAGTATGCCACAAATTATTATAAAGTCCACGAAAGGAGCCTCCTTGGACGGCAAATGCCAAGTATGCAGGGAGCAATTAGGATGAATGATTGATAAGACTCATTGATCCGTTAACCTGTTGACTCGTTGATACATTGCTTTACTTTTTGGTTCAATCGAACAAAGGTTCTATCAAACGAATACTCTATTGAACAAAATGTTCTACCCAAACCAAGAGTGAGAAGGCGAACCGTGTAGTGAGTGGGGACTTCATGTGAGAGTGAGCAAGACAACAATAATATTGTGAATTGTTAAATAATCTCTAAAATTACAGACATGAAGTCAGATATTGCACGCATGACCCATGAAAATCTAAAATGATTGGGTTATTTAGAAGCTAGTAACCCGGGATATTGGGTCATAGGTGCGGTTTGAATCATTTTGATTCGATCAATCACGATCGACACATGTGTAGTTTTAAACCAATTTAAACAAGGCATTGACAAAGTGTGGGGTTCAAACCCCAGGGCTTACCTATCGCTGATTACGATTGCCTATTAAAATATCAAAATATCAATAGAACTATGGAGCTGCTTTGTTACATTATATTGATCTTCCTCTAAGAAGAAAGTGCAAGAAAGTCTAGGGGTTGCTCTTTGTGAATATTCATTAGAATATATTTATCATTTATAATATTTGTGTCAAACATCATAGATTGAGACTGTCGAGTACATAACCAGAAACAGAGATAAAATGTAATTTAACTTGTTTGAAAACTATTCTGTCAAATCATTCCGGTGACAACTGAGCTCGGATTGGCCAGCCCAAATTTGAAGCAATTGACAGGTGTCATCAATTGTTTCACTTAAAGTCAACCAATCGATCGTTTGACTTGAACTTTGCTATAATGGTAGAAAACTGCAAAATTACAAATGTAATATTTAATTACCGATGAAAAGTGATTCCGTTTGTATTGTAATTAAATGTTTTGCTGTTTTCCCACACCACCAAATGGAACAGCCCCCATGGTTAGAGATTATCTTTATGACAATAAATACAGAATATTTTTGGAATATAATGGAGATGTACACAGGTCAGTTGTTGGCACTGCACTATTCCAGTTTTCAAATTTGTGATTTCAGTGTTGATATTTAAAAATGATATAAGGCCCATTTGCCTGATGAATTTCCAGGGATAGATGGCCCTTATTTCGTCTCTATTTCTGGTTATATAGTCGATGAACGAGCCTGCAAGAGCTAAACGGGAAACAACCACGGATTTTTGTCATCTTTGTACGCAAAAGCTGTTTAATAACCTTATAGCGTTAAGTTTTTGTATCACTATACTATAATTACCACCATAATGGAAACCGGAGCATTAAAGTATATAAAAACTAAAGCTTTTAATCATAAATGTTTACAATACAGATCCAATTTAAGAATTTCACAATTTGGTTCATTCATCGTAATTTCAAGGCCTCGTCTATGTCAACAGTACAATGTAAATATAACCAAAAAGCCGGCATAATGTTGCCACTAACATTATACAGCTTTTCAAAACCATATAACACGTTAATACATCGTATATAAAGTGAAATTTGGATAAAATTTTAACCCGAGCGGAAGTTTACACGGGTGAAGTGGGCTACTTAAAAATGACGAAATCGTAATAATACAAGTTCGTTAATAGATAATAAGTGCGCGCAATAATTGAATATCTACTGTAGAATATGTTATAAGGTAATGAAAAGTGGAATTAAGTTAAAATCACATAGAAATCATAATATTTTGGTCCTCACCTGCTCTTCAGCCATCTTTGTTATTTTCTAGCATTAGGAATAACGTTTCGTCGTACGAAGTTTGGTTATTACGTCGTAAATTACATTTAAATTAGTTTTTGTGATTACTAATTCACATGTTACACAAATATTATTTCACAAGTCATTTATTTATACTTCATTTAAGTTTTTTCAATATGCCCGAACGTTTTTGAACAAAGAAAAACTAATTTTTGTAACTTTATAATTGAAAACAGCGTGAATCGGAGTGCAGTTACGAACGCGTTCAAATTTTGTTTTATCAGAATTTGTACGAAGGATTGGTAGATCGGTCACAGGATGGAAAAAAAATAAAAGATCGGAACAATACAATGGATCCTTATAGATGGAAAAAAATTGTCTTAGGGTCGTATTCCAGAACTCTAATCAATGCTCAAGTCAGGACTTGAGCAGACTTGAGTATGATTTCAAGCACTGGAAATACGACCCTAATGGCAAGGACTTGATACTCAAGTCCTGACTTGAGTGTTGAGTAGAGTTCTGGAATACGACCCTAAGAATGGATCTGTCTTTAACAGACGAAAAAAAGGAGGAGGTTCTCAATTCAACTTTATATTTTTTTGTATGTATGTTTGTATGTATTTACTAGGCAACAACATTTACTAAATTCCTCGGAATAATACAACCGTGCCGGCGCCGTTACACCAAAGAAAAGGCACCCTGCGCCTGGGATGTTCATTTTAGTTAAAATGTAAAAGCTTTCTTTTATAACATCAAGTGACGGGACGAACAAGTCGTGCGCCTGATGGTAAGCTGCACGCCATAATGGATGTAAGTTGGACGCCATATTGTCCTTAACAGTTGCAGTGCCACTCAGAGCTTTAAATCGCAAAGATCTGAGGGGCACTGCCACTGCACACGTCACCCTGAGACATAAGTTGACAAGTCCCATGTGCCTGAAATTTCACCTGCACCCTTATCCTTCAAAACCAGAACGCAGTAATGCTAACATTACTGCTTGGCGGCAGAAATAGGTAAGGTGGCAGTACTTCCCTGGACGAACTCTTTCACAAGGAGCTCTACTCTACTAAAACCTAAATAAATAGAGCTTATTTTGCCATCATAGCAACGCATGATGGCCGCTCGGCTTGAGCGCGATGAAATGCGTGTCATGGTACATAGTTGTCTATGTGCGTGTCCAATAAACGCGCCCTGAAGGCGCGTGTTCACTTTAAGCAATTCGACGTGTCTGCTACAGAAAAGATGAGAATGATCTTGTACACGACAAGAATTTTGTCGTATCTAACCACGAAAACTTGTTGTGTCTGTTACAGACGAGAAAATGATGAAAATTGTACACGTTCGTTTACTGACAATGCACCACACCCCGCCCCACATAAAAGCGGCAGACGTGTCGAGGGTAAACACGATTTTTTGCAAGTTCAGCGCCGAGGCATTGTAGGTATGTACACAGTTCGTGTGTAGAAACGACACGAATACTTGCATAGACACGGCGACGTTTCTTAGCGTGGACACGCGCCTTTAGTCTACCGCGGCTTTTATACTCTTTTAAAATTAACCCTGGCATATACTAGCAAAAGTCCCTGCAAAAGAATTTGACACGATAAAAGAAAAAAAATGTTGGAAAAAGAGACATTTTTTAAGCATTTTTTATCACCTTAATCAATTAAATTAAAAAATTCAGACCCTAAATTCATATTAGCGCTGTTTAACATTGTATACAGTCCGTTGGTGTTGTAATGCTACGAGTTATTTATGAAAACTTATGTTCAGCGTGGGTAACCACGCTTGTTCCTAGATTTTGGCAAGGACAAAAATCTTTGCTGAATAAGCCACGGTCGGATAAAAAATGTAAATATTTTATGCCACTTACTGTAGCAGATATGTTTTTACGCCGACTGCGGTGTCCGCTTTAGGGTTCGTGCAGCGTGCCGGCGATGTTTCGCAATTGCGGTCGCACAGACTCGCTACGACTTGTTTTAACACGTAGAACTAAATGGCTTAGTGCAGCGTGCCCGCTACCGGCGACAATCGGTCGTGAAATTTGCAGCGATCAGCCGTCGCAAGTCGCTTGCTACTACTACTAGATGATCAATTGATGTTCCTATTATTTATACATTATGTACCTATTACATAAGTAATTAAAATTATAATAATGGACCCAGATAGGTTAATTGATGCAGTTCGTAATCACCGCAGAATATTAATGGGATGAATATTAAATCTCCTTCTTCTTATCCTTCCTAAAAAAGTTCTGATACCATAATCTATTTTCCCTTTAGGTACGATAATAATTATTCGAAAATTCACTGCGCTGTCAGTCGGTCGCCGGTAATGTTACGTCGCTAGTCGCCCGCATGCTGCACTATATTTTGTCATTAGAAGTCGTTGCGAGTCGATGCGACCGCAGCCAGTCGCGACATATCGCCGGCACGCTGCACTCGCCCTTAGGCATAAATTGTTTAAAAAGGCTTGTAGGACTATAATCCTAACGTCATGAACAATAGCTTGGTCCATGACTTTGCACAAAACATAATAAATGTATAAAACATAAACTAAGTTTTTGTTGTAGGTACTATCTGACACTTTAGATCTAAGTCAAACTCAAAATAAACCTTAATTATTTCATAGGTAAACATTACATTTGAAATCGTCTTATTGATTAAATTCTACTACTCATTCGTAAGGCAAGATTCCCTTGAGAAATTTTTGTCAGGATATTATGCCTTAGGCAATATTTATACACGTATAGGAGCTCCTTGTGAGAGAGTTCGTCCAGGGAAGTACTGCCACCTTTATCTATTTCTGACGCCAAGCAGTAATGTGAGTATTAGAATAGAATAGAATAGAATAGAATAGAATAGAAGTCGTTTATTACTACGCCACAACAAAAATATACACAGTAATAAAATGAAGACAAAAAAAAAGATGAAGCTACATTAAAACTAAAAATTAAAATAAAAATAACTGGAAAAAAAACGAATAAAAATAACACCACATACACATCAACAAAGCAAACATGAAATATTTAACACAATTAGACTAAGTGTCATGTGCGCGGCTGTGGCGTGAGTAACAGGATCCCACTCAGCTATTGTCACCACCGAGGAAAGGCTGTGACGCTGATTTTCAGTGGGCCCTAAAATATTACTGCGTTCCGTTTTTGAAGGTTAGCACCCTTAGGGGTGCTGGTGAAATTACAGGCACATGGGACTTGTCATCTTATGTCTCAGGGTGCCGGGCGCAATGGCAGTGCCTCTAACATCTTTGCGACTTAGATCACTCGTGTGTGCAACTGCAACTGTTAATGCACAGGCGACCACCAGACGCACGACTTGTTTGTCCCTTCACTTGGATTCTTAAAAAAAATGTTTCATGTCATCATCTTCGTCATTATCATCATCATGATCTACCCACGTCCCACTTCTGGGCACGGTCTCCTCTCAGGCGAGAGTTTGGGCCATAGTCCGCCACGATGGACCAATGCGGGTTGGGGCCTTCACGTTTTTCCGAATGTAGTTTCAATTATTTTTATAGCTTTCATCTAAACACCCTCAACACTCTTTCATTATTTATTATATGTAGATTTCCGTTTATTATTCTCGAGAATCCTCATTAGTTACACAAAAACATCGAGTATGTAACCAGAAATAGAGAAGAAATGTCATTTAATTTGTTTGAAAACTATTCTGCCATATCATTACTGTGACAACTGCGCTCCGATTGGCTAGCCCGAGTTCGAAACAATTGACTGGTGTCGTCAACTGTTTCACTTTAAATCGACCAATTAACTTGAGCTTTGCTATAATGGACGAAAATTTCAAAATTACATACATAATTACTGATGAAATTTGATTGTTTGTTTTGTAATTAGATGTTTTGCTGTTTTTCCCCACATCACCGAATGGAACAGCACGTCATTGTTAGAGATATTATCTTTATGACAATAAATATAAAACATTTTTGGAATATACGGAGACGTACACACAGGTCAGTTGTTGGCGCTGTCTAAATTTCAGTGCAAACGAGAGTTGATATTTATAAGTGATGAGTTACCAGAAATGTATGGCCTACTATTTCGTCTCTATTTCTGGTTATAAACTCGATGCTCAAAAATTATATACCTTGGGAATATGTACGTAACAGTGAATTGTCGGCCTAATGTTAACTGTTGAGATGGCTTTCCACGGCCTGTAATCTAACAGGCCTGCGCAACGCCAGCTCGCGTCACCGCGCTGTAGGATAAGTGCAGACTGCCGCCCGAGCTGGTACAGAATCGCCTGTATGGCATGATATTATGGGGGCTTCTGATACTGGTAGGAAATTTCGGAAATGAGTACTCCAATACCCAAGTATTACAAGTATAACAAATAACTATATTGGCAATTAAGCAAGTATATATTGCAGTACAATTACGATTGGCAAGAGAGGCAGTGTAAATCAGTTCGCACGTCTGGTGGTGGTCGGATGACGCGGTGCGAGAGGTGCTAACGTGCGTAGTAGGCGGGATCTCTGATGATGTTGTACATGTGTACAACGCGTCGATATCGATGCGGGCGATAGCTCTTGCGCAGATAATGTAATTGCCCTTCTGTGGAGGAAACATGGCACGCGAAAAAGAAAAGGTTGTG